GGAAAGCCAGAGTGACAGAGAGAGGAAAGATTCTCAAGAAAACCTAGCTGCCCAGCCAATGCCACCCTGCCCGGCAGTCACCTGACACCCTGTAATTTGCTTGCAAATCAGAACTTTCCTCCTTCCCTCCTCAAAATAAAGCACTCACAAAAGCACATTTGTGAAGCACATTAGAAGAACGTGTTGTAACCTGCAAGATCTGAAAGCTACAATTGGTTCGAATTTGAGGATGCACAAAGGAGATGAAGAAGGGGCAGAGATGGTCCTTCCCGAAAGCAGCGAGTTCCTGGGCATCTGTGACAGCAAGGAAAGGAGGCTGGCAAGAAGCTGAGAGTTTCCTCAAAGCAGACAGCCCTACTGTTTTTCTAGAGAGGATGATGATCCCCAGCCTACCTCACCCCCGGGACACCTATCCCTGGGGGTAACTCAAACGATTGCACAAGGCTGTAATTCAGAACACTCCTAACGAAGCACCAGTGTTCCCACCGCCGGACAGGTCGTGCCAAAGTGCTTGCTGCAACTTCTCAGCCAGAGGTGATGGCTTCACACCACCCGCCTCTTGGCAAACACGCTCCCTCTTTTGTAAAAACCACCTATACTGCTACACTCTCGCAGACAAGGGTCTCCCTGCATGAGTTAAAGCCTCCACCAAGCGCAGTAGCTGCAGGAGTATATGGTCCTGCCAGCTCCTTACAAACAGCATGCTTTAGAGAACAATCGTGCCATTTTTCCTCAAATCAGAGAAAGGCTGTGATTTTTAAGTACTGGTGAGTTGCTGTGAGAAAGTAAGAGATAGAGAACAGAGCAGCTCTTCTGGGCGGGATGTATTTGCGCAGCTAGCGAGACCCTAGCAGAGGTTGCCAAGCCAGGAACCAGCCCTGAGGACGGGCAGTCTCGAAGCAGAGCCAGTGCCGGGGCTGCTGCTGCAAAGGTAAAGGGGCCACAGCAGCTCTGAAAATGGCAATGAGAGCTGCCAGCGCAGGGTGGGAGCAGCTAGCCAGAGCCACACGAGTCCCAGCCCAGTGGCCCCGGGACATCCCAGGCGCGCGGAGACAGCCCAGCTCCGCAGGCCCTGCAAACGTGCTGCCCCCTGTCTCCGCAACGGCCTGAGACACCGCGCTCCCATCTGCCACCTTGGCCAGACCCCACGAGGGGGCACGCCGCTCACGCCTGACCAAACCGCTCCCCGGCCTCAGGGTAATTGAGTTCATGCAGCATTTTGGAACAATTATATTTTAAAGAGGTTTTCTTTGGGGGGGGGGGGGGGAAACACAGGGGGGACACACAGCAACAACCCTCAGAATTACTTGTTTCCTCCTCCCTTGCTTTCTGAGGAAAAAAATAACAACAATCCACAAGGCTCAGCCCAGCCCAAGCCAGAACTCCCATTTCCTCCCCATCCTCACACAAAACACACACCTCTACACCTCCTTATTAAAAGGTACAGAAATTCAGATTTACACCTACCAGGCAGAGCCCAGCTCCCATAAAAAGTCAGTAGCATCTTTGCACAGATTTTATGAGCGTTACTCTTTGAACAGGACACATTGGATATAACGTGGGAGAGCCAAGGCTTGCTGAACACCTCTGACATCCCCCAGGGAAGGACACGGTTGCTGGTTCAAGGTGAGCGGGACCCGGGATAAGCTGCACGCGCTTTGAGCCTCAGACCTGCACCCTGCCCGGCAGAGCCAGAGCCAGCCCAGGCCACCTCGCTCCCCCCGGAGCCCCGTGAGTCCTGCAGCACCCACTGATAGGGCTTAGTCCGACCAGGACCTGCCTCCTGCGCAGGGAGGCTCCACCAAACTAAGCCAAACCACAGCAAGATGATAGAAAACTGCAGAACAAAATGACAAGTTCAGAGGGGTGGGAAGAATATGGATTTCCTTTCAACATCTCTTGACTTCTTCCCATGACAGGTCCTGGCCATTCCTCTCTGGAGTTGAGGCCTGGCTGCCACACTGCTGGGAAGCTTGGCAAGTCGATCCCACCAACTTCTAGACCAGGCAGTGGGTACCAAACTTGTGAGTAGTGCAAAAGTGGGAGACACGCTGGGACACTCCAGCACCAGTCCTGCACTGGTGTGAAGCCTGCTGTCTCAGGCCTCTGCCCTGCTAGCACCAAACACTTCATGCTCTCCAAGAGCCCAGGGCCAGGGAGGCAGCGAGCCCTTGGCCTGCAGCACCACATCCAGAAAGCCTCTTCCGACTCGCTTTGTAGCAGTTTTATCCCAATGAGGCTATTGCCCCCAGAAGCACACGAGATGGAAAGCAGACCAGCCCATATTTACCAGCAGAACTTTGTGAAAAATTTAAGAGAGCGAGAAAGAGAGAGAAAGTCTCAAGGAAAGCTCCTGAATGCCTGAACAATTCTGCAGCTGCATCTCTCCGCAGCCCAGCACACGCTCTTCGAGACCATAGGGGCTGCCCTACGGCAAGGAAACAGGAGGACTGCAAATTCAGGTAGAGAAGAAGCAAGTGGAAAATAAAACCTGTAAGAAAGGTATAGATCCATCATTTAACTGCAATCAGCGCCCTCCTTCCTCACATCTCTCCCAAAATGCTTTTAAATCTTTTCTGATGGAATGTTTGACATATTTAATACATGCAGTAAAAATTAAAGTAATAGATAACTTCATATTAATCTGTACAGGGACTGACAAGCTAGATTTAATCACTTCATAGCTGTTCAGAGAGTTAACTTATTCTAGCATGATTCAAAGGAAAGGTAAAGGATTTTTTTTTTTTTTAAATCAGCCATTTCATAGTAACAGAAAAACGTGCCGCAGACTCGTGCACATCAGCACTGGGGGAAGGGAATACCTGATCTCTGCGAGAGAGCCGGAGGTGCTCTGCGAGGCATGTGCAAACCTCAAACGCTTTGTTTCATCCTCTGTACTGAGTGAGTACGAGGGAAGATTTAAAGACAATGATCTGCTTCCCACCGCCAGTCCACAGGCTGTGGGAGTGCGATACTAACTGTGCAAAGTGATTCCCTTTGCAGCCGAGCCCTCTCTGGCCTCCAGCCCCACAAAGCTCTTCCCTGAACGCAGCGACCTGCCCGGAAAGCTTGCACAGAGCTGGTTCAGGGCTCGGAGCAAGGACTGCCTCGCCAGAAGGCGGCCGTTGAAGGTCAGCACCCGCACCGCTCAGGTGCTGTGCCTCCTGAAAGGAAGGAGGTTTCACTTTAGGATTCAGGCCAACAGACTTTGTGCAGCGACTCAAAAGTGAAGTCACGGAAATGAAATGGCTGGCCGTGCGTTGGCACCGAGCGGAAACCGAAGCGGTCGCTTCCAGCTGCCGACCGTCTTTCCCTGTGAGCGCCAGCGCAGCCACGTGCCGTGGGAACGTGGGGCTCTGCCTTTCTTACAAGTTTTCCTCCGAGATGCTAGGCTTCAGCTACCCTGTTCCTCCACTACAGACTCCTGGCTGACTTTTAGATGTGCGGTGCAGGCTTGCGCGGGAGACCTGCAAGGGTGCTGTTGAAAGGCAGAGCTGAGCAAAGGCCTGGCTAGACTCCCCGCTTTAGACTCCACAGCACTGAGATGAAACAAGGACAAAACAACCGCACCTTGTCAGTAGAAGGTGAAAGGGAAATTATATTAAACAAACAAAAAAAATATTAATCGGACCGTTATCTCAGCATCAATCCAAACACGGAGAACCTTGGCCTAGGAGGGCGCTACGCAACAAGTGCACAAGGACACACCGCGCGGGCCGGGACCCCCATCTGCGGAGAGCACGAATTGCAGAAGGACGCCAGGCCCGTCGAAAGCAAAAGACTGAATCTTTAGCAAAGAGCTGATGAAACCACTTTGCTGTCAGAGACGACAGAAATCAACACCAGCGCAGCTAAACATGGATGGGAGGAGTTCTGTCCAAAGCCAAGGCATAACGGGACCGATTCATCCCCGTCGCCAGCAGAAGTGAGGATGAACGCAGCCCAGCACGCCTGCCCAGCGGCAGCGGATGCGACAGACCAGCGCCCAGAACCCGCGCAGCATCTCCTTTGCCTTTTCAGTTTGACCCGCATCACCCCACCTCAAGGCCTGTGCAACGGGAGAGCAAGAGAGTGATCAGAAGTACACACACGAGTAGCTAGTTAATACTTTTTTGCAGGTAACAGTATGGGACACCAGCAGCTGCTACTAACGAACCGACAAATGGCAGATTCACCTTTCTCTCCCTCACTGATGGAAAATGGTTTTGGTTTTGCTTTAAATGCCACTAATAAGACAGACAGAATTAGGACTCTGAAGGAAAGGGACATGTTTGCGTGCACTTAAAGGCTGCCGAAAGCTACTTCATGTGCACAAAGGTGGTTTTCTTTCTGCTACAGTACAAGTGCTTGTGCCTCAAGTATAAAATGCAAGCCTCCAAATCACACAGACGAGCTTCTTATTTTTATTTTCAAAGTGATAAATAAGGCACTGTACTTTTAACTAAAACTGCCTGGTTCCAAGTTTAAAAATCCAAGGAACACTCAAACTGCAGAAACTGCCTTCTGAACAGCAGAGACAGACAGGCTGCCCTCTCCTCTGTCCGAGACACATCTTCCGATGCCTAAAATCACGGGCGTTATCCTTTAACTGCGGATTTTTAAAGGCTTGCTACAGCTTATAAAAGCAGCTTTAGTTAATGCATGGTAAAGGGTTACTACTATACAACAGTTTTGTACATGGCTACCGGTTCTTGGCTATTTCGCATCCAGTCGCGAGCGCTTGCTGTGCGAACAGTCAACTTTTGCCCTCAGCTTCCTCTTGCCCTGTGCCCCGCTGCTCTCCTGCAACTTCTTCATGGACCTCGTCAGGGTTTTCCCACTGCTGGGCTTCTTGTTGGCCAGCTTTTGTGACCGCGTCGAGGACTCCCCCAGGGGCTTCTGCTTTGGAGACTTGGCCAGCTCCTCGTGGCTGGGGGGCAGCACGGCCCGTCGGCTCGTGTTCTCCTTGCCCTTCCGCATGGGGAGCCGCACTTTCTCAAGCTGCCTTTTTGGGGCTCTCTTCTCTTTCAAAGACATCTTTTTAGCAAGCTTATTGCTTCTCTCCATGGCAGCTTGCTTTCTGGTTGCAGGAGCTTTTGTGCTGACCTCCAAATGCTTTATTTTACTGGCCTTCTTGGCAGGCAGCTTGTCTTTACTGGAGGAGCCTGTCCGCTCCTGTGCGCTCCCGCTCTCCTTCAGGGTTCTCTTCTTTCTGCTGAGCTGCAGGTCGGCTTTGGGCGAGGGGTCCTCCTGGGACTTGCTCTTTCCTTTCCGCCCCTTTCCCGGCCCTTCTACGGACGGAGATTTAGCAGGAAATGCATCTGCTTTGATCTGCAAGGCCAGCTTTGGAGACATCAGTGGGTTGATGCACACACTCTTCCGGCTTTGCTTGCTCTCCACAGAAGGGTGGTCACCTGGGCCATCGCTCTTCTTCTCTGCCTTAATCAGGCGATGCTGGGCTCGGAGTTTCCCCCGCAGATTAGAGTATTTCCGCAGGATCCTCGTGCTTGCCTGCGTGGGCAAACTTGGAGTGGACTGAACGTTTTTGTCTTCGCTCACTTCTTCAGAGCTGGTTTCGGAGGGAGGTGTCTGGTTGGGACCAGTGGTTTCTTCAGCCTCTGCTTTTTCAGCGTTCTCTCGAATTTTGGCCCACAACTTTTGGTTCTTCAGGTTATTTCGAGCTGGGGTGGTTGCAGCAAATTTCTTGAGATGCTTTTTCAAACGTTCAGCTTGCAGTGAGCTGGGATAAAGACTGGAAGAGGAATACTTCTGCAGGGGGACTTTGATGGGGGGGATCTCCCCTGGGAGACGGGTGTTGAGTTTCTTCACAATCACTAGAGACCTGGTTTCAGTTGTCTCCAGGAACCACTGGCAGATGTCAGACAGCTTAAAGGCCTTCATAAACAACATCTGGACAGGAGAAAGCTTCTGAACTTCCAGTGACCCTCTACTTTTCCGTGTCCTTTTCTTGCTTTTCCAAATCTCTTTCAGTTTGTCAGCTTTGTTCTTCACCTTGGGAGTCGGTTGCACTTCCTTTTCCAGCTGAATCCAGCCTTTCTGAACTTTCATGTACTGGGCATTGAACTCAGCAATGAGCTCCTGGTTCTCCTCTTCAGCACACCACTCCATGAACTTTGGTTTGCTGTCAGCTGTGTCTATATCCTCCAACGCCGGGGAGTCGTCGTTCCCTGAACTGCATTCGTCCCTCGTTTTGGGGATTGCTTGCATAGATTCTTTCCCTGTCGTGTTCTTTTTTGCAGTGTCTACAGATGCAGGTGTGTGTCTTAAGTTATAAAATTGCAGGGCTACCTTTTTATGCTTCACGGCCTTTGCGGGAACATGCTTGCTTCCACCTCTACTGCTGGGACATGGAGGTGAATTGGTCACTGGCTCGAAATTCTCAAGCTTTCCTGTGTCCATGGCACTGTCAGCGCTCTCCTCATCCTCCTCCTTTGCATTGCCATCACCTGCCTTCACATCCACTTGCTCCGCATCGTTCGCAGCCACGCTGCTTTCCTGAGGGAAGAGAATGCTTCTCTTCTCAGAATCAGTCTGGACACAGATTTCCAGCATCTCACCTGCCTGATTTTGGCTGCCTTTAGCAGGGAGGTCATCTTTCGAAGAATTTTCTCCCTCTGCTGCAGTCTCTTTTGCTAGGATGTTTTTATAGGTTTGTCTAGTAATGACACCGTTCTCCTCACCTGGCAGCTGCTCAGGGATGCTCTGTGGAGCCTGGCTGGCAATCGGCCCCTCACTGTTCTTGAGCAGCGTTTTATGAAAGCAGTCATTTGGGAAGTGCATGGATGCTACCTCATCCAGCTGCACTTCTCTCTTAAACCGCTTAGCACCAGGACTCTTGGAGAGTTTGATCTGAAGGCAGGGAAGCTGCACAGAGCTCGAAGCAGCAGCCTCCTCAGCACTGCCCTCCACGGGTGGCTGGGATTGCTGGCTTCGGAGACGCCGGTCCGATGCCTCAAGCACTCTCCTCCCTTTCTTTCGCTTCTTGTCTTGACTCTCTTTGGAAGAGACCGACTCCTTCCCTGCTGTTTCTGAGCCTTCAGGTTCAGGCAGCATTTCACCTTCAACAAGCTCTTTCTCACATGGCAGACTGTTATTCTGCGCTGTCTCCCCTTCCAACATTTCAGGGAGGCCTGTGTTAGCTGGCACAGCCTCCTCTTGCCCAAGTGAGCTGTCACCCAGCATGCCTGATGGTTCGGCTTCTGGTTTAGCATCGATGCTTTTGTTCATATCCGCACACTGAGAGGTGGCAGGGGGCTCTCGGGGACTCTCCACATCCACAGTGGCAGGAGGCTCATCGGGAATTTGCAAGTCCAAAGAGCACGGAGAAGGCTCTGCAGGATGCACCTCGGAGGGCTCCACCTCTCCAGTGCCTGGAAGCTCAGCAGGATCTCCCATAGCAATGCGGGCCAGAGGTGTGGTGTCCACAGCAGCAGAGGGCTGCAAGGGAGACCTTGGCTCCGGGCTGGCAGGAAGGTCTGGAATAGTTTGTATTTCTGAACCGGGGGAACCTTCCTCCCTGCTGGGTGCTTCCGAGACAGGAAGGGCTGTAAAATCTGTTGCCTGCGTGCCACTGCTATCTTTGGGCCCGCCGTCCCCAGGGGAATCCAGCCTGCCGCCAGCCTGCCAGGAAACAGTGCCTCCAGCTCTTGTCTCTCCTTTTTCAGTGGGAGGAGGGCTTGGGGGCTGCGAGCTGGCTGGGTCATCCTCTTTCTGAGGACTAGGTGGAGCAGAGAGAGAGAACAGGGGCACAGCGATAGCAGCTTCCCTTGACCTCAGTGCCCAGGTATCCCGAGGATCGCGTTCAGCAGAGCCCAAATCTGCTCTCTCTCTAGTTTCTCTGCTGGACGGTGCCCCTTTAGCCAGGAGCCTAAGAGAAACCCTTTTCTCACCTTCCCTTCCTGCTCCCAAAGACCCACCCCCCGAGAGCACCAGAGTCGGCTTAGTGCTTACTAGCGTTTCTGTTCTCAGTGCCGGGCTGTTCCCTCTTTCCTCCGCCCGGGAGCTTTTAACCAGAGTGCGGACAGTTGGGAGCTCGCAGCACTCCCCGTTGAAATAATAACCTCGCGTGCTCTTCCTCGCCGTCTTGCGGGACGCCACCGACCGCTGGCTCTCAAAGTGGCACTCAGTGATGGGCTGGCTGATGTAGACGACGTCGCACTGGTTGTCGTAGTCGTTTATCCTCAGCCCCGACGCTTTTTT